TCAAATCCAGCCTCAGACATTTACTAGCTGTGTGACCTGTGCAAGTCACTTATCCTCCCTCAGTTTCCTAATTTGTAAAATGGCGATAGTAATAGCATCTGTTTTAGTTTCATCGTCTGTAAAATGGGGATAATAATAGCACCTATATCACAGGACTATGAAGAAGACCAAATGGGATAATATTTGCAACGTGCTTTTCACAGTGCCTAGTGAACAGTAAGCGCTTAATAATTGTGTATTCCCTCCCCTAATAAAAATAGCTAACATTTACATTGTGCTTTGGGGTTTGTGAAGTGTTAAATGTTAGTTGCACCTTAAATTCTTTGGACATTATGTACACAGGTAAATACTACACACACACACACACACACACACACACACACACACACACACACACATATATATATATACATATATATATACACACACATCCAAGTTCTCATATCATGCCTGGACTAGCACAATAATTTCCTAATTTTCTCCATTTTCTAGTCTCTCCCTTTTCTAATCCATCTTGAACATTGCTGTCAGACTAATCTGCCTAAAATATCACTTTGCAATTTGTGCTTTATCAATGGACATGACCTCCTCTCCCACACTGCACCATCTAGCCAAAGTGGCTTTCTCTCTGTTCCCACACATAGCAGTTCATCTCTCCCATCTCTGGGCCTTTACCCTCTCTCCTTACCTCTGCCTTACCAAGTCCCTCTTCTCCTTTAAAAATGTTGCTTACAGGGGTAGCTAAGTGGATAGAGCACAGGACCTGACTTCAAATCTGGCCTCAGACCAAACATTTGACATTTACTAGCTGTCTGACCCTGGGCAAGTCATTTAACCCCAATTGCCTTAAAAAAAAAATGCCACTTATGCACCATCTTCTGCATGAAGTCTTTCTTTATCCCCTCAACTGCGACTGTTTCATTCTTTGCATTTACACCCCCAGGATCTAGGCACATAGTAGGTATTGATAGTAGATAGTTAATAAATATATAGGTTGACTTGCTAATTGGTTTCTCTGGCCAAACTGGACCACCCACTGAAAAAAAATATCTGAAATGTCCTTCTTTCCCTAACTTATCATCACTGTTCCCCTGCCTGAAATATTTTTGCTTCAAACACCCCACTAATCTAATCCCTAGTGATCCCTCAAGACCCCTTGGAATATCACCTGCTCAATGAAGTTTCCTCCAGCTACTCAGGTCCATGGGGACCTCTTCTGAACTCCAGTAAGCACTTACTATTTATACCATTCATTTACCATTTTCCATGTGCTACTTCATATTCACAGATCATAGATTCAGAGTTTGAAGAGACCTCAGAGGCCAGCAACTTCAATCCACACATTTACCTATAAATAGACTGAGACCAAGGGAACTCAAGTGGCTTGTCCAAAGTCACATGGATAATAAGAAGAAGAGGCTGTGTTAAGTCCAGCCCTCAACCTGCTACAGTCAATCACTCAATAAACATTTATTAAGTGCCTATTATTTTTGAGGCACCGTGTTAAGTGCTGGGGATACAAAGAAAGGGAAAAGACAAACCCTGCTCTCAAGAAGCTCTCTTCCTAATAACAGAAATAACATGCAAATAATTATATGTAAATAAGATGAACTCAGGATAAATTGGAGATGATCAACAGAGGGAAGGCATTAGAATTAAGAGCTACTAATTGGTGGTTATTTGAAGTGTACACACAGGTGATCACCATGCTGACTGATGTTGTTGGTGATCAAGAGGAAGGTGTTCCAAAGACATACCCTGGAACACAGCCCTGGAGTCAGGAGGAAATGAGCCCAAATCTGGCCACAGAAACTTAACCTAGCTGTGTGACCCTGGACAAGTCACTTAACCCCAATTGCTTCAACAACAACAACAAAAAAAAAAGACATGCCTTCCCAGAACATCTGCACTCTGTCTCTGTTAGAGCTATGGCACCTAAGCTGCACAACAAATGCCCCAGATATTCTCAACTAAGCTCCAGATATTCTCATCTGAGCTTCATGTAGTATTCAAGTCCCAACCCTACACTTAACCTCTATTTCTTCCATCTAAGGAGGGAGTGGATTAATAACATCCTTAATGTCTACCAACAAGAAGAAATAGTTGCCATGAAGAGATTAAGGAGAGAGAGGATAATGCTTGAGGTAGGGAGGAGAGAATAGGATGACCTTTATAGTTTTAAAGAAGTGGAGGAGGAGGAAGAAGAGGAAAAAGAAGAGAAAAAAGAGGAGGATGCGGAGGAGGAGGAGGAGGAAGAAGAAGAAGAAGAAGAAGAAGAAGAAGAAGAAGAAGAAGAAGAAGAAGAATGAATGAATGAATGAATGAATTGGGAGTCAGGAGAACTGTGTTATAGTTCTGACTTTAACATGTAATGTCTGACTATGTTACCGCCTCCCTATTTCATAAACTCTAATTAACTTCAGGATCCAACATAAAATCATCTGTTTGGCTTTTAAAGACCTTCACAACCTGGCCTCCTCCTATCTTTCTAGTCTTCTTATACTTTATTCCACAAAAGTACTCTATGATCCAACATAAGGGGTCTCCTAGCTGTTCCACACACTGACACTTCCTCTCTAGACACCAGGCCTTCTCCTGCTCCACCTCCTGGCTTCCCTAGCTTCTTCAAGACATCACAAACCCTGAGGCAGCTATGTGGTGCAGTGGATAGAGCCCTGGCCCTGAAGTCAGGAGGACCTGAGTTCAAATCCAGCCTCAGACCAAACACTTGACACTTATTAGCTGTGGGCAAGTCATTTAATCCCAATTGCCTAAAAAAAAAGACATCACATACCCCATCTTCTGCAGGGAGCCTGTTCTTGAACTCCCCTCTTACTATTGCTAGTCCTATTTATGCTGTATCTATCCTGTATGAACATATCCTGTATATATCCTATATATCCCAGCCATTAGAACGTGAACTCCTTGAGGGCAGGGGCTGTCTTTGCCATTCATTGTGCTGTCTTAGCACAATGCCTGATATATTTTTGACATTGTTCAATCTTATCAGTCATGTCTGACTCTTCATGACCCCATTTGTGGTTTTCTTGGCAAAAATACTGGAGTGGTTTGCCATTTCCTTTTCCAAGTCACTTTATAAATGAGGAAACTGAGGCAAGCAGGGTTAAGCCATTAGCCCAGGGTCACACAGTTAGTAAGTGTCTTCAGCCAAATTTGAACTCAGGTCATCCTGACTCCAAGCCCAGTGCTTTATCCACTGTGCCACTTAGCCATCCTCCCTGATATACAGTAGGAACTTAATAAATGTTTATTGACTGTGTCACTTTCAGCAAATCACTTCATCTCTGTAGAACTTCATTTCTTCAGCCATAAAAAAGAATAGATTTGGATTAGTTATTCTCAAAGATTCCTTTCAATGCTACTACCCAGCTTATTTTCCCACAACTGATACTGGAGTATTTCCTGTGGCAGAATTTAGAATTCATTATATATGTATATCCATTGTAGTATATATACTCATCATTTTTACAATTCCCCAATATTATAGAATCTATGAACTTATTCCAGTTGACCTTTGGGTGTTATGCAGTAACATGATTTATATTTTTATACCTGAGGGAAAAAAAAACCACATTAAGTGGAAACTTAAAAATATTTATTAACCACTAGAATGATGAGTGGTTATATGAAAAAATTACATATAAAATAATTATAGTGTTTCTGACTTTAAACACGGGTCACTGAGCAACAGGCATAATTGTGTGGGGCTGAGGACATATTCACACTTTGAAGAAACTAGCTTAGGAAATGAAATTGCATTTCCTCATCCCTCTGCTAGCCGATAACACACCAAGGTAATCGTTGGTATTTTAGGATAGTAGAAGGAAATTGCGTGCCTTCTGGATCCTTCTCTGGGCATGGTCCAGTAAGTGCAAGCATTGAAATGTCCACTGGAAGAGGATCAACAAATACCAAAGAAGAAATTTGACATTGCGAATAATTACACTCTAACTCTATGAAAATAAAATTCCAGCGACTCCTCTACAACCAGTATACATAGCAATTAGGATGCCAATTGAATGATTCCATACCAGACGAATTCATGGTTTACTCTCATGTATTTCGTTTTCACTTCAGGCCGGGCTACAAGCAGATTTTTCTAATAATTTCCACAGTATTCTAAATTAAGAGAAGCCAGAAATAATGAATAGGGCCAAACCTGTTGCTCATTCTGTATTTCACATAAAAATAACAGTCACTGTTAGCATTCACAAGCCAGTTTTTCCCTGAGTTCAAGCAAACATTTGTTGGCATAGACAAGACTTTTATACTTGGAGGACAAGAGTCATTTTCTTGCTTTCAACACCTAGCAAGGTATTTGCATACAGTAGGCACTCAATAAATGTTGAATTTACTTGAATGGAATTGAATGCATATGACAAAAATGGCTTTATATATAAAAGTTCTTTGTTAAAATGTCTCCAGCCATCAGGGTGGGAAACCTGCAGCCTAGAGGCCACATATAACCCTCTAGGTCCTCAAGCGTAGCCTTTGACTGAATCCAAACTGCACAGAACAAATCCCCTTCATAAAAGGATTTGTTCTGTAAAATTTGCACTCAGTCAAAAGGCTGTACCCAATGACCTAGAAGGCCACATGTAGCAGACTCCCCACCCCTGAGACACAGAAAACTAGTAGACCAGAGTGAAGCAGAGTGGTTCCTGGCTTCTTAAGTCTCCTAGAATCCCTCACCATGTTTCAATGCATTCAAGGTTTACAGAGAGTTTTTTTCCCCTCAGAAATGAGAGGGTATACTCCTTAGAAAGGTAGGGGGGAGGGGAAAAGAGAATGGAACATTTATTAAGCACCTACTATGAGCCAGGCACTGTGCTAAGCACTTCACAAACATCTCATTTGAGAGGCAAATAGACTGAGGCTTCTAATGGAAAAGATAGAAATGAATGAATGAATACAAAAATCGCATTGCAGAGGTAAGCTGGTAACTTTCAGAGAACTCTGGCCAAGTGAAAAATACTTACTACGACTCCACTCTTTGTGACCTTCTCCCGAAAAGTGAAGTTGCATACAGCCCAGGCTAAGTAATAGGTGGACATGAGCGGGGTCTGTGAAAAGTGATCTGTAACCCATCCGTCTTCCTCAAAAACTGAAGTTTCTACTGGCATATTAGATAAAGACAAATATGTGGCTTGATGCTTAATACTGATTTTAAAAGTCGCCTTGTAGATGGGTTCATCAAAACAGGGAAAGGCCTTTCTTGCATGTGTCGGAGAGAACTGTGTTACACCAAGGAACCTAGAAGCAAAAGGGAAAAAAAATAATCACCCATTGCATTTATAGCTTGAGTTATGGGTGCATTAGGTATGGCTGTTCCTAAAATAAAACATTTTTGCCAGATATGCAAAGTTCTTCTTTTCCTAAACCAAACTAAAATGCATAAGCAGCAAGAAAGCACATTTCACATCTAATGCATTTTTTTTCCAACAATAAAAGTTCCTCAGGGTAGTTTTTGTCTCAATTAGAGTAAACTCACAACCCAGAGCAATATATGGACAATAAAACATTACAAAAAAAAAATAAGTTCAATGGAATCACATTGGCAAATAATGGAAAATAACTAATCCTTCTTGTATCATGGCTCATTTTCTGCCTCAGCAATGGAAGATGTGAAGAAAAAAATAAAAGGCAAATAATATCAAAGCCATAACTTAAAACACTAAAGAAAAGTCTTCAGATAAATGTATATTGCAATGGTCACCCCTGCACCCTATTCCAAAAAAAAAAATGGACTTTCATTGGACTTTAGAACTCATCTGTAGAGGCAGCTAGTTGGCATAGTAGATTGAGCACCAGCCTTGCAGTCAGGAGGAGCTGAATTCAAATCCAGCCTCAGATCCTTACTATCTATGTGACCCTGGGCAAGTCACTTAACTTCATTTGTCTCTCCTCCCCCCCAAAAAAAAAACCTTATCTGTGTTGATTGCTCCAGAGGTCATGTTTCCTACCTCTGATATCAATCACATTTAAGTCACTAGCTGATAGTGTATTTCATTCCTATTTAAATAGACATATAAAGAAGCAACGCAGATTAGTGGAAAGAACACTAGAGTCTGGAGCACTTGCATTTAAGTTCCAATAATACCTGCTCTTCGTGTGAACCTGGATCAGTCACTTCCTTTCTCTTTACCTCAATTTCCTCTTCTTCTATTGAGAGTGATATTCAATTAACATATATTAAGTTACGACTCTGTGCTTGGTTCTGGGGATGCAGAGACAAGGACACTGTACTTGCCCTCAGAGCTTATATGATATTTAAAGCTCATCACAACTGATGCTGAGTGAAGTGAGCACAACCAGGAGAACATTGTACACAGTAATGGTAACATTGTGCAATGACTAACCATGATAAGACTTAGCTCTTCTCAGCAATGCAGTGATCTAAGACAGTTCCAAAAGACTCATGATGGAAAATGCTATCCACATCCAGGGAAAGAACGATGGAGTCTGAATACAGATCAAAGCAGATTATTTTCACTTTTTTATGGTTTTTCCCTTTTGTTCTATTTCTTCTTTCACAACTTGACTAATATGGAAATACGTTTAGCATGATTGCACACGTATAACCTATATCAGATTGCTTGCTGTGTTGGGGAGGGGGGAAGGGAGAAGAGAAAATTTTGGAACTCAAAATCTTTTAAAAATGAATATTGAAAACTTTGTTTACATGTAATTGGCAAAATAAAATAAAATGCTATTAAAAAATAAAGCTTATCAAAACCATCCTACTATTCCAGTTTTCTTACATCCCCCTCCCTTACATGTGTGACCCTGGGCAAGTCACTTAACTTTTATCTGCCTCAGTTTCCTTGCTACAACTCCACTCTTTGTGACCATCTCCCGAAAGGTGAAGCTGCACGTGACCCAGGCCTCTGTGAAAAGTGATCTGTAACCTATCCATCTTCCTCAAAAACTGAAGTTTCTACTGGCATGTTAGATTAAGACAAATATGTGGCTTAATGTTTAATACTGATTTTAAAAATCGTCTTGAAGATGGATTCATCAAAACAGGGAAAGGCCTTTTTCATATATGTCAGAGAGAATTGTGTTATACCAAGGAACCTAGAAGCAAAGGGGGGGGGGGATGGGGATGATAATAGCACCTATCTCATAGGGTTGTTGTGAAGCTAAAATGAAGTGCACATAGTAGGCACTTTAGAAATGTTTGATCCTTCCCTTCTTCCCTATGCAGTCTACAACCCAGTCACACTGACATAATTGCTGTTCCTTCTCACATAACACTCCATCTCCGATCCGCATGCCTTTTCACTGCCTGTCACCCATGTGCTCTCTCTCCTCACTCTCAGCCTCTTAGAATCCTTGACCTCTTTCAGGACTCAGTTCAAAGACTATCTTTTGTATAAGGCCTTTCCCTGTCACCATGCCACCCCCAACAAAATTAGTCCCTACCCCCTAAAGTTACTTTCCATCTACTCTGAGGCATTTGTATCTGCCTGTTCACTTACATATGGTCTCCCCCATTCAAATGAGAGTTGCTTGAGGCAGGGACTATTTTTGCCTTTCTTTGTATCTCCAGTACTTAGCACTGTGCGTAGTACATAGTAGGCACTTTGAAATGTTGGCTGATTGATTCTAGAGTGAGAGCACACAAAACATCCTCCACACCTGGAATTCTTTCCCTCCTCATCTGTTTTTCAGTCTTCCAGACTTCCTTCAGGTACTAACTTCTACAAACACCATGTCTAATTGCTCTTAATGCTATTTTAGTAATGTTTAATGCCCTGCTTCTGTTAACTATCTCCAATTTACCCTTATAGGTACCTTATTTATACAATTTTTTTTACACATTATCTCTCCCATTAGATTGTTTGCTCCTTGACAGCAGAGACTGTTTTCTGCCTTTATTTGTAACCACAGTGTCTGTTACACATAGTAGGTGCTTAATAAATGCCTGTTGACTGACCCAGATAAGTACTCAGTAAATACTAAATGACTAAGGTCATTTTTCAGCTCTAAATCCCAGATTGCCATGATGAAAGGCATAGCATTCCTTTAGATTACATGGTAACAAATGAAAATGCTCAACTATTGTGGGACCTAATGATTAAAAAAGGAGGTTTACAATGAAATATGTAATAACCAATATGCCATAATAAGCTGAGTCTAATAAATTAATCATAAAAGGATCATTAAGGCAAAATAATAACTTGCTGTTGAGGCTTGGGGCTAATAGTAATGAGCTGGGTTTCAGGCTATCCTACAGAGTCAAAGGAGGTAGTACCTTTCCCAATAGAGAAACTTAAACACCCATATATCTTGGATGAAGGAAAGATTTGGGATGTTATATCCAGAAATAAAAGGCACAAGGAACCTCAATCCCTGAAAAAGGAAGCAGTTCCATCACCAGCAAGAAGAAATTAGCCAAGCCCACAGTTTGAACTGAGGATGAATCCAGGATGAATCAGCATGGGTAGGTTCAATAGAGACAATAGAGACTCTGGTAACAGAGACTAATGATGATCCGGATATGGGCAAAGCCATTTAGATTAAAGCAAACAACAGCTAAGGTAAGTCTTCTGGGAAAGTGGTATGAAGGACATTTGAAGACAGATAGAGATGACTAATGCCTTCAAGAGAAAAAGATGAGAAGATGCATAGAGGATTCAGGAGGAGCAAAGGAAGAGGAGGGAATAGACTGGGACTCGTTTGTTCTACCACAGCTTTAGCTGGACTGTCCATGCACAACAGGGCAGTTCCCTTTAGCTGAAGCTATGCTAATAGCTCCATAAAGTACTTAATACAATCCAAATCACTACTTTTCCTCTTTGTTAGAGTTGGGAGCTAAAACCAACTTAATTAAGCATTTCAGTAAAGAACTCTATCATCCTCAAATTTTACAATGTTTTATCATTTTAGAAGATAAATATCTTATAATAACACTGGAACTTCACTAAAATACTATTGTAACCCAGAGTTCAATTCCATTTACATAAGACTCTCCTCACTGGTGGAGAATTAATTCTGAGAGAAGTGAGGAGTTGGCAAAATCCTGGAATCACATGTGTCCTCTTCTCTTGAAGTCAGAAGACCAAAGGTTTCTCTTCTTCTGAGCTCTCAACTCTGCCCCTCAAGCAGGCATCATGCATTGCGTGCACTGTTGAGCTGAATTTTTTGCAAATGGTCTTGAGACCTAAGACTTGCATGTGTTAAAGGACTTGACCTGAGTCTTCTGACCTAAAAGTTCAATGTTTCCACCATACCTCGAGGTAAACGATAGCAGTAGATGAAAGTTCTAGGCTCCATCATCTCAAAAATAAGAATTATATATGTTTAATGAATCTCAACTCTTAGAAATGTATGGTCTAAAGTACATAAAAATTAGATATTTTTATATTAGTATTATGTCTACTATTTTAGAAAGCATTTTTTAAAACCTGGAAAGACTTACATGAACTGATACAAAGTGAAGTGAGCAGAACCAAGAGAATACTGTACACAGTAATAGCAATATTGTACGAAGACCAACTGTGAATGACTTAAGCTATTTTCAGCACTGCAAAAATTCAAGACAATTCTGAAGGACCTATGATGAAAAATGCTATCCACCTCCAGAGAAAGAACTGATGGAATCTGAATTCAGACTGAAGCATATTGTTATTTTATTTTCTTTATTTTTCTTGGATTTTTTTTGTCTCTATTTTCTTTCGCAACATGACTAATATGGAAATAGGTTTGCATGACTGCATATGTATAACCTTTATCAAATTACTTGCCTTCTCACTGGTGGGGAAGGAGAGTGAGAGTGGGAGAGAATTTGGGACTCAAAATTGTAAAAAATGAAGGTTTAAAATTGTTTTTACATGTAATTGGGAAAAAATAAAATACTAAAATTAGAAGAAAGAATTTTGAATGTTACTAAGTTTTGACCAAATGCTAATTAGCCCTCACTAATGGTTTTTAAAAAATTAAAGACAAATCTAATAGCAAATATTTTTTTTTGCTAATAAAACAAAGTCCTTATACTTCTCTCTAATATGATTCTCTCCATATATAACTTCATACTGACATAAAATAATTGCACATATAGCTTTAATTTAATAAGATTTTAGAATGCTGATAAAAGCATTAAAAATTGTAAGAAAGTATGGAATATGAATGTAATAGAATTAGAATTCAGCTTAGAGTGTATAAGAAGCAATGTACTACATATGAAGCATTTGCTTAATTAATATATGGCAATTGCTATAAGAAGCAAGCTGTATGAAGACTCCACCTTG